CCCCGGAGGCCCCGCCCCCCCCCGCCCCGCCCCGCCGGGCGTGGCGCCGCTCTCGTCTCCCGTCTCGGTTGCCGGCGCCGCTCTACCCCGCTTCCTGTCCTCGCCGCCTCCCGCCCCCCGCCCCGTCAGGGCGCCGGGCGGAAGTGCGCGGCGCGGCCATGGCGGCGGTGGATATCCGAGGTAGGGCCGGGGCGTGTGTGGGCGCTCGGGGCTCCTCGCTGGCGGCCCTGACGGGCGGGTTGCGCTTCCCGCGGCTCCGGGCCTTGCCGGGGGCCGCCTCCGTGTTGGGTCGTGGGGTCTGCCCACCGCCTTGGGCTCGGCTCTGCCGGCGGGCGCGGAGGGGTGAGCTTCCCTGCGTGGGGCAGAGGGCGGCGGGCCTGGCTGCCCCGGGGCAGCGGCGGCTGGAGGAGGAGGTGGTTGTAATGGGCACCGTCCTGGCTGACTGGCCGGAGGTTGCTGTGCTAATAGTATTCGCTCCCAGGAGCGTCCAAGTTAGTGGAGGACGAGCTGTGGCCAAAGGTGGGAGTTTGATAGAGCTGCTTCCTTTATTAGCGCTCTGTAGGGGCAAGAGAACTCCTGCGTTTGTTTGTATTCGTTTGAAAAGAATGCACAAGGGAGTTTAGTAGTGTTGCTAATGCATCTGTGTCAGGAAAAGGGACTGGGAGGAAAAACTGTCCAAAAGGCAGTTTTCTCAGACATGAGGCAGGCTGGGAGGGTGTGTTCAGCGCCAGCTGGGAAAAACAAGCCTTCCTTCTGTACAACTCTGCCTTTTCAGGTGGAATAAGGAGGTCCTGGGGTGAGACAGTAACGTAGGGAACAGCTAAAAAAGAGAGTTTTAGCTCTCAAGTTTGGAGGAAGGTAGGAAACACTGGCATGTGTGGGACTTGCACCAGACCGAAGCAGTGAGTTAGGCTGGTAATCTTAACAGTGCTTCAGGTGGATGTGATCAGGCAAGCTGGCTGTTAGAAAAGCCAGAAAGCAAGCTGAAGTAACTGAGAACAAGAAAGTTTTGGGTGAGAATTCAGGGGTATGAATAGAATGAGGGAATGTTTTGAAGAAGAAGGGGTGATACTTGAATGAAGTATTAAAAGTTTACATTGTAAACAAAATACAGGTTAAATTACTGTGAAGAGTTTGAAGTTTGAGAGAGGAAGAGGGGCTTGAGAGGGCATGAGAAAAGAAATTATTTTTCTCCATAAGGGTGTCTGAATGGAATCACACCAAAAGCCTGTGTGATGGAGTCTCTGAGAATGACCAAGAACAGATATTTAAGGAGAGCTTGTGAGGGGTTAATTTTGGTAATGCCACAGAGGTTTTCTCCTGCTGGCTTTTCTCCCAAATTGTCTTGACATTTATGGCAGGTTGGCTGTATTGTCACAGGCACTTTACTTGTGCATCTGTGATGCATATTGCACAAAAATTGCTTTGAACAAGATGTCCTGTTTTTGAAAGGAACAGGGAAGCAGGAACGCCATCCTTTCTCATACCCAAAATAAACGGAAGTACTCACTTCTTAGTGGGAATAACAGACATGTCAGGTTTATGGTTGGTTTTGTTCTTCCTCCACTTTTTTTCCAAGAATAGTTTAAGAGAGCAGTCTTGCTAGTTACAAAGGCAATTACAAATATTGGCACTAAGCAGCTATGGATAATTGAGCCTCAGAGCCCAACTTTATATTCTGTTTTACGATATGTTTATCAGTCTATGTACAGCATTATAGCTATATGTATATGAAGCTTGCCTGACATTCCTCTTGAGAAATGTAGTTATTGTTAATCATACAAGCAAGAAAAGTCTGTATTTGAAATGTAATATGAGAATTTATTATGGGAAGAACATGGCAAGCACTTAAGATTTTGGTGTTGTTGGGAAGGAAGACTTGTCTTTTGGTTTTGAAAGGCATTTAGGATAATCAGCACTACCACAGCTTAAGTGCTTAATAATGGGTCTTAGTGCTGTGTTTCTGAGATTTCCTTTTTTTACAGTGAGGAGAGAGAATAGTGTATATGAAATGACATGAATGCCTTGACTTCCCCCCCACCCCAAGTTCTATGAAAGAGGCTGGCAGTTCTGAGATTAATGAGGCAAAATGATTTACACATGACTATTTATGCTACATTTTTCCTGGTTTGCTGGGCAGCTAGTGTTACTTTATTAACTGTTCCTCAGTGAAACTGCTAGTAGTGTATGAGCTGGCATTTTTGGAACTGATCCAGTCATCCTTGAGCATGCAGAGTTGTTGCAGAAGTAAAATATTCACGGTGGAATGATAAATGGGAGTTCTGGGTATGTATATAATGCATGAACGTAAGGGAATGGTTCCTGTGCGAAGGGAATTTCAGTTCTTCATTCAGTCTTCAATGACTTCTCATCACTTATGTTTTTTAATTCTAAACAATGCATGCCTTTGTTTCCTGCGTTCTTGTGTCTTGGAAATTTTATTTGCTGCTGCTGCAATTTAAAATGGATGAATTTCAGGGTGCTTTTCAAGGTGCCTCATGGATCTTCAACGTTAGCAGATTCGTTGACTGTGGAACCAATTGTTGACATTGGTTTCTTTGGTCTGCTTGAGGAACATAATTTTGCTGCAGTGTGATAATAAAATCCGTCCCCCCTGCCCCGTAACTGATTCTAACTTACTTTAGTAAATTCAACTTACCAGAGACCTAGCTTTCAAAAGGAACCGTGCTTTGGATTGTCTTTCTACTCACCTAATGCTGTGGTTCTTAAAATAAACTATATAATACTACTGAGTAGATTTAGTATGATAATATTATATACAGTATCAGAGCTAATTAACTCCCACCAACACAGCACGCACGCACACGTGCACGCAGACCCTGCTTACATTCTTGAGACATAAAGGTATACCAGCAGCTGGTGGTCAAGGAAAGTGCAATAATAAAAAAAGGCTGGATTTCTATTATGTACGTGTAACAGAACTGCAGAAGGTGGAAGGATATGAATTATTATTTGAACTCTATGAAGCGCATTTTCAATTAGAACTGGTTTGTGTGAGACTGTGTTCCACCTCCTTCTCCTGCTATAATCATTAACTGGTGGCAATTTACTCTTGGAAGTATTTGTAGTGTTTCTGGCTGCTTTGGTACTCAGTGTAGATTTCTCTTCCCAGATAATCTCTTGGGAATTTCCTGGGTTGACAGCTCTTGGATTCCAATATTAAACAATGGGAGCGTGTTGGACTATTTCTCAGAGCGAAGTAACCCATTCTATGACCGAACATGTAACAATGAAGTTGTCAAAATGCAGCGGATGACCTTGGACCATTTGAAGTAAGTTGTAATTTGGAACTGCTTCTTGTGCAGTGTCCTTTGTCCCTCCATCCAGAGGCTTTGATGGTTGAATGGAAGCATGCTGGAAACCTTCTGTTCTGTGGTTTTTAGTCCCACCACTTGCCAGGGAGCCCAGCTTTTTCTGTATTTGGATGTCTTCTACTTCCTCTTACGCCATTTCAAGGAGGTGTTAAGCATGACTGATTCTATGTGTGTTCTGAGATTCCAGTAAATTGCCTTTCAGATATTTCTCTGAATTAGAAAAGATGTCTTCTCTCATCCTCTCAGCTCAACACAACTTGAGTAATGGTAATGTAGTTGAATGTTTTTCTATGGTGAATAGGGTTTATGTTAGGGGATGCTTTGAGTTTTTCTTTCTGTATCCTGCTGGCTATGTGCCATAATTAGTACATAGTTCCTCCAAAGAGCTGGCTTTTAGTATGGATAATAAAAGTAGTGAGTGTTGTAAATAAACTGATCACAGATGGTTGTGTAATGACATTGCAGCATGCAGAAGTTTAACTTTCTTTGCAGTTCCCCATCTGCTACACTGAGCACAAGTGAGATGTTTGAGGACTATTTAAAGACTCCACAATATGATAGGGATTGTGCAAGCTGAGCTAAAAGTTCATTGGTGAAGTCGCTTGTGCTCAGATGTGGTTGCAGAGGGGCTTTCACATCAGACACACAGATGGTCACATCATACACTGGTCCTTTGTTTCTGAGTTTAAAAGACTTCTCTATGATGATAGATTGTTATCCTTCTTGCTATTTATTTGTTTGCTAACATATTCTACTGAGATGTTGTGTCAGGTTGTTGTGGCTCCCTTTATATATGAAGCTAGATTTTTATAGCTAGCCCAGGAAATCCTATGCCTTTATTTACTGCCCGTTACAAAGAAGAGCTTCCAAAGCATCAGAACTTCATCCTTTTACTTCCAGGCCTTTTGGTAGCTCTAGACATCCTACAGATTTTACTTTGAGGAAGATACTTATTCTGGTTGCTTTTTTTTCAGCCAAATGGTTGGAGTGGAGTACATCCTTCTTCATGCACAAGAGCCCATTCTCTTCATTATCCGAAAGCAGCAAAGGCAATCTCCAGCACAAGGTAAGGTCACTCAGTTCATGTCACTGTTGAGAAGGCCGATTGGTTAGCCCCTTTTATCTGTTCCTAATTTGTTTAAGCACTTCTGGTTCCCCTTTTATGTCTATCTTAAGCCTAAATAAAAGGGTATGAGGCTTTGTGGTGGGGTGGAGATATTTTGTCTAGCAGAGTGACCTCTAGTGTGCTAATAGCAGGGATTGCCATCTTGTGGTGAAATGTGAAGAGTACAATGAGAAAGTGCTGCCCTATCATATACTTTGCCATGGGAAATTGATAATAGCATTCATGCCATGTTATATTTATCTGTTAGGCTATGCAAGAGTATTCGTTTTAATTATTTGAATATAAGGCTAATGATATCCTTGCTTGGGACTGATGAGCTTAGTTTAATTTGACCTAATCATCTGAAGTGGCTAGTATGCGATTTATTTATTTATTTTGGAGAACCATGATTTCCATTAGTTAGGGAGAGGGATCATTCATGCTTTTGTTTGTGTCATGTTGCTGTCTTATTCTGCACTATTTCCACCTTCAACTGCGGATTGGTTATACTCCTGAGTAGGATCTTCTGAGTAGAAGACGATGACCCATGTGAAAAATGACCATGAGATACTGCAAATGCTGCTTGTGTTGGTTATTCCTGTGAGAACTGAGTATTTTGGCATTGTGAGGGAATCTTGTAACAGCAGCACCACTGTTTCTTACCGTGTCACTGATGACCTTTTCAAGTTTTAAATGAAATACCTTAGCTCTTTTTCCATTTGCATGCAACTGGCTTCATTATTCCTTTTTAACCTTAAATTTGTTTGGGTGTGTGTGATTAATTAAAAAAGTAGCCACATTTCAATAGTTATTGGACTGACTTCTGTGTTTACTGCCTGTATATGTAAAATAATTCAGGTTATTTCAGAGTAAGCTTTATAGAAAAGAAAGGCAGGGTTAATGCTAGTTATTTCTTAACTTTTTTTTTAGTGAATTAGGCTCTGCATATGCATTTTAGTGTTGTATAGGAGTTTGCTTTGTCTAGCAGTGCTGCTTATTTGCTTGTATCAAGTAATGGCATCTTTATATTGCAGTTCCATACTGAAAAAGAACATATATGATTCCTTCTTTAATAGATTTTTTGAGTTGTTTCTTTATTAAAGGTTTTGAATTTAGCTTTCAAAAGACGAATATGGAAATAACATGCAGCCCTTAATTTCCTGCTTTGACACTTTTTAGATTGAGAGTAGAGTTGGGACTTCCACAATATATGTGTTCAGACTTCTGCAGTAGGGCAAATACATATTTGGTGGAACTTAACTGGGATTTGTTTGGTAATATTTTTCCCATAAACTGTAAAGTTTATGCTAGGTACCTTGATTGAGTCACATAGTTCTGTGGAATAATTACTGGAGGTGACTTAGAAATTAAACCTATATTAAAGGTATGGCATTGTTCACACATTAAGGAAGGGTATAACATTGAAGAAGCTTTCAGGGTTGAATGCAACTGGTATGCAAGGAATCCATTCCACAGTGGTTCCCTAGACAATGTTGCCTGCAAAACGGCACAGAGGTTGGAGTGGAGCGAAGACTCTGTGGCCAGGCTTTGTGAATCACTGCAGAGATAGGAACTTCATGGTATTATGGTACTGATAAGCTGCATATTTGCCACCCTGGGCCAATAGTTTGTTATATTTTGACAAAATGCTGTCCTTTGTGCAAACGTTGCTCATTATAATGTCATTATAATAGCAAAACACACCTCCAGCCCACAGACTACCTGCCTTCAAAGTGGGACCACCCCTCACTGAGCCTGTGCTCTGAATTTTTGTTAAACTATACCTTTAAAGGCAAAGCGAGAGAATTTTATACCAATCATAATAAAGGTATGTATGACTAGAGTCACTCAAGCTCCACCTTGAAGGTAAAGAATTGTATAAAAATGGCCTAAGAAAGGGGGAGTGTTGGGGAGGGCATCATCGAAAACAAGTCAGGGAAGACACTGTCACAGACTACCTCTGACTCCTGGGGTCAGTCAAGGAGCTGAGCCTCTCTTGCCCCCCATAAGGGCGCCTTTGGGTAAGATCCAGACTATACTGAGCGATTACTTGGAAAACTTAGAAATCTCTCTCTATAAGAGTCGCTCTTCTGATTTTGCACACTGTATTATTCTCAATGTTTGCACGTGCTTTTGCAGACAGTGTATGTATCACCGGCAATCCATAAGAACCTGTATTTCTGTTGCTTTAAACTGCACTATTCATTAAGCTAGCTGTAGAAGTTTCTCATTGGGTGCCGCCAAATTCTCTAAGTCTGGCCGCGTGTGTCCATGGAGTGTGACTAAGCTGAAAGTGAAAGTGCAGTGCGCTATTAGGGCATCCATAATAGTGAGAGTTCAATAAGTTGAACACGACTGGACTAATAGTGCCAAATTGGATATCACTCAGAATCTAAACCTAGCCACCCTCAGCCCCTCTGATATCTGAGGATAAACTGGAACGCAAGGGGGTTTATTTTCTGCCAAATTACTTTATCCTTCATGCGACAAGTTCCCTAGCTCAAATGTTACCTGTGTGTTTCATTCTATCATGGTACAAACATTAGTGTATTTGAGACGCGAGAATGGGGATGGAAAACTAAAATTTAATGATTTCACAGCTAGTGTTGAGTACTCAGAACTGGTGCAGGCCTGCCTTATGACTTCTGTGTGCTTTTTTTTTTTTAAAAAGTATACTTGTATTTTAACTTCTTTAAGCCAAGTTTTTTTGCCTGTTTGAAGTGATTTTGGAAAAAAATCTTTAGATCAAATGATTAGGGAGAGTTACCTGTCTAGGAAGGCAGGCTGCTCTAGTACAGAGCTGTGAGACAGTAAAGCTGCTGTTCTATGTCTTGCTCCACTTCTAAGGAAATGCTGAGAATCCTCTTTCTTTTGAGGAGAAGTGGGGACTGGCTGTAATATGGACCCAGCTGTCTTGGTCTGTTTATTTAGGCAGGTGTCCAAGCTTCATAAAATGCAAGTACTGGATGAATTGGGTCCTGTCAGTAAAAAGGTTCAGACAGAATGTGCTAATGCAGATGGAGGAACTGGAACAAATGTGTGCGCAGGTAAGATCCTTAGGAATGTGAAGCTGATAGCACCGCTGTGGTTCCTCAATTGAAGAATCTTTGGCAGGGTATTATGGAGGCAATTGTGATGTTCCCCTGCATTGCAGGTCTAATGAATGACAATTTTTGATCGGTCAGTAGAGGTTCCAAATCTGATTTAACAAATGCCTTTGGAAGATAGTCTTTTTTTGGCAGAATGTTATTAATTTAGAAAGGCGTGCTCTGTGTGTGCTTAGCTGCCCGTGGGTCTGGGAAATCTAGCTAAGAGGACTGTACAAGTTGGAGAAAGCTGAGGCCGGAAGAATGAGATCTTGCGTTGTTGTGGGTTTCTACCAGTAGCAAAAGCAAGTGGAACTACTTCCAGTGCAGTTCACTTGACTCCTCTTGTGTAGCTCTGAAAACCCCAACTCTTGTAAGGTCAATTATTTGTTTGCAGTAGGACAGGACTTAAAGCTGATGCTTTTCTATCTGTAAAGCAGACCTTGTGGTTTTTTTTCCCCTTATCAGTCTGTGGCTAAGGTTCAAATAAAGCACCTTGAAGGAAAAGGTTAAAAAGAGAAAATTTGGTGATGAGGTAAATATTACAATTTCTGCTGTTACTACTGATATTCAGTAACAAATACACAGTCTTCAGCCAGAGCTTTAAATTGATCCTGCCTTTTTTTTTTCTTTTCTCCCCACAGTTATCCCATTGGCTGACTACTATATTATTGCTGGAGTGATTTATCAGGCACCTGACTTAGGGTCTGTCATTAACTCTAGAGTTGTAAGTGTTCTGTGCATTTGATGTATACCGGTTTGTATTGCTTTTACTTTTGGTTCCTCCCCAGGCTCTTAAAATCCCTCCTTCACTGTTTTGAGGAAAGATCTTGTGTGGTATACAGTAACTTAAAACAAACCCCACTAGTTAATATGGCCTGCGTCCCACATGGAAATGAAAGATCCTGGGAGAGTGCAGTATGGTCCAAAAAGCAGGATACATCGTTTAAGGATGAAGGATCAGAATAGCTGAACCTACACAATTGGGAGAGCAGCATGAGGTTCGAAAAATCAAAAGAAAAATTACATGACAAATACATATGAAATAATAAGTAAATATTCAGTGAAGCTTGCTTTGGAATGTTAATGTTAAGGTAATGTAATATTTCTCTTTAAATGAGGCTTATGTTTTTAAGTTGATGTGGAATTTCTTTTAATTGGATTCTCGGGTTTTTTATTTCTTCTGTTCTAGTACAGTACTGCTTTTGCAAGCTTTTCTCTGTCAATTTAGAAAAGCACTTCAGAAAAGGTCTTGTAAGAGCGTGTTAAAGAGATTACATTCTTGGTCCAAAACTAGATGTCTCAAGTTCCCTTCCCAGAACAAAAATTAATATAGAATACTAATTTTAAAATTCCTGCTTTCTAAAATTTATACAGTATTTTCTCCTTAAATTCTGAATACTGCCTTATGTTCTTGTTCTGAAAGCTCACTGCAGTGCATGGAATTCAGTCTGCTTTTGAAGAAGCTATGTCCTACTGTCGCTATCACCCATCCAAGGGCTACTGGTGGCATTTCAAAGATCAAGAAGAACGAGGTATGATTCCTAGTTGCTCCTGCGTGCTTTGGGAAGGGGGAGGTAATGTAGGGAAAAGCTTGAGGCAGTGCACGGTGATGGTGTAGAGATGAGGTTAAGTGTCTGTCTGTCTGAAGGGTAAGTTAGTGCTCCCTATCAGGTGGAAGGAATCTTGCTCTTCTGTGCTGGTGGGGATGAACACCGAGGCATGGGTGGGAGATGAAAATGGTGAGCTGTGTGTCAACAAAGTGGGCAACTCTTTAACCCACTGGAGACCCAAGTACATTTCCAGAAGCCAAACCAGTTTGTCAGAAGGTAAGAGTTGTCCTTAATCTGTCTTCCACAAAAAAAAATCCACCTGTCATCAAAGGAAAAATGTAGGTGAAGTTTTGAGAAGAGACAAATACCAACTTGTCATGCAACAAAGAGCTGTTGAGAGAATAGAACTTCTAATACATCTTTCTCTTACGTTTCTGTGACTTGCAGAGAAAGCTAAACCAAAAGCCAAGAAGAAAGAAGAACCAAGTTCTATTTTCCAAAGGCAACGGGTAGATGCTTTGCTTTTAGACCTAAGACAAAAGTTTCCACCTAAATTTGTTCAGGTATGGCACTTATAAGCTGTAGTATTACTGTAATTTACTTAGAACTTAAGGCAGTCATAAGTACTTCAGCTGAAACTGAATGGGGATTTTGTGTTCATTCTGCAATGATAACATGGATTAGACAATAAATTTGAAATGGAAGGCTCTGATTGGAGTGTAGGATTCCCCTTTGTAATTCCAGGAGTCATTAAGACCTTGGCTAAACTATGAGGGCGAATTTTATTATACAAATGCCATATCTAATCACAGAAGGTCAGTTCTTGTCAGCTATTGGATTTTGCTGCTGCTTCCAGTTTCCTGCTTTGTGAGCTCAATCAAGCCACCACAGCTATTTTGTTTTAGTTACTCCATTGTTCTGGAGGCTCATTAATTAGCGTGGAAATTCTTGGCATTCTCTGAAGCTGTTATGATTACCTGTGATCTTCTCTAGTAGCCATTTGTTCCACCAGGTATTCTGCTTGGGAGCAAAGGAAATTATGTTTATAGCATCTCACAAAACTGTTTACCCCTCAGATGTGGGAGAGACTGGCTAACTGCGTATTTTTTGCTTTAGTGCTTTTCAGTTGCCAGAGGAAAAACTGGATGTTATAAAATGTTAATTGGATTTTAAAATGTATATAGTGATCCCTTCTACCCTCAACTCTTATACATAAGAGTGTATTGGTTGGTTTATATTCCTAAATGAATAGTAGGAAGGGTTAAGAATTATGACTTTGGTACCACTGATATGTTGTTTTATTTTTTTGCTTCTTCCCCCACAGCAAAAGCCTGGAGAAAAGCCTATCCCAGGTAAAACACTATTATTCTCACAAGACTTAAAAAATAGGCTTTATATAGCAGTGTCTTCCAGTTGCCATATAAGCTCCTTGCTGCTGCTGCTGAGGTGGTTAGGAATTCTGGCATTGCCTAATTGTGCAAAGTGCTAGGTAAGAGCAAAGTACTAGATAAGAGTTCTTTGTGACAGCCAGGATGAAATTGAAAAAAATGTGTATTCTACTCCTGCCCTTTCTGTCTGTAAAACTGTATTGCCTAAAGGTCCAAATACAGGAAATGGTCCTTGAAAGCAGGAGGAGGGTGAAAGGGTGAATGAGGGAACAGTTTAGTCAGTCCAGCATCTTAGTGATTTTGCAGGGTGCTACAAGCTCAAGAAAGCATGTGAAGGCTTTGAGTTGATTGTAAGCAACCTCAAAACAGGAGAAGCATGAACTGTATCTCTTCAATCTGTTCCACTCTTTAATCCCTATAGGTATGAGTTTAGTCCTTGCTTATTCTTATATCTTTGAAATGAATTTTGCCCCTTTGACATCAACAATATTTTCTGAGTACTGTGAATAGTATTTTAGGAATAAAAATTGGAGGTTTAACTTTCTTTTGCTGTTACTTCTTAAGTGGATCAAATCAAGAAGGAACCAGAACCAGCCCCTGAAGCTGTCAAGCCAGAGGAAAAAGAGACTGTAAAGAATGCTCAGCAGAGTGCTGGCGCTAAAGGACCACCTGAAAAACGGATGAGACTGCAGTGAAGGGAGAAGTTGTTACACATCTGGATTAGTCAGTACCTGGAAAACAGGAGATTCTTGCTCCCCTTTCTTTATATTTAAGCTCTTCCACTGAGACTGACACTTCAGGGACTGAAGTCCCTGTAAGAGCTTTTTCTGTAGAAACCTGTCACACAAATGTTAATGTCAGGATGTGAGCTGCCTCAAAGAAGGTGTTCTCAGTGTTCATCTTATTTTGAATGTTGGCTTCTGAGAATGGTTTTTATATGGACATATTTTGCAGCCTCCTGAAATCTTTAAAAACTCTTGCATCCCTTGTGTCTTGGTTTCGTATGTAAAAAGAAAAAACTTTTATCTATTAAAAAAAAAAAAAGTAACCTGAATTTTTGGCAAATGAAACTCCTGGCTGCTGGAATGCCTTTCTTAAATGCTTACTTTGTTAGTAGCAAATATGCCATATGTGCTGGCAGCATTTTTTTTGCTTGGATATTGGAATATATTTTGTGCTATTTTGAGGAAGAAACATTCAACTAAGGGATTTAGGCTGCCTGCTAGAAAGTGCTGTGCCTTTAGTATGCTTGCAATACAGATAAAAGATTTGATAACTGGAGGCTCAAATCCATCTAATTAGATGTCAAACTGCTCTCAGTCTCTAAGTGTTCTTGAGCACTTATTTTACTTAATGGCTAAGCTGGTCTTTCATTACAAAAGCTAGTGTTCTGTGAGAGAGATTTATGATGACGTAAAACAGGCTAAAATGTCTTGCTGTTGCACACTCAGTGAAGCTGTTTATATTTCTCCTTTTTTCACTGTAGCTGAAATATATCAATTACATCTCTTCCTCTGTGCTTCTAGCACTTTCTTGCTGCATCTGATCACCTTGATTAGTCTTCTGCCTTTTAGACCTTGGGAGGTAGGGCAGTGGAAGAGAAACATCACTGACGCTATACAAAACTGTACACTTTGCTGTTTAAGCATGTTGCTTACACAAACTCCGTGTCGTCCGTCCGTCCGTCCCCCCCCCCCCGAAAAATTAGAAGCCATCCATGGCAAAGAAATGACTGTTGGTTTTGTTTCTTTCATTGAAGTAATGGAGCAATTCTTGAAATAGCTTGCTTTCTTTTCACAACTGTTACCTGTGTTCTTGTAAACTGTAGTAAGCAAGAAAAAGGTCTGTACATAGTAAACAAAACGTAGATAGGAAGGAAGACTGAGATATGCTTAGACAGCTGTGTCAAATTTATTTTGAGGTTATAAGAGACTCTTTCTGTTTCAGTAATGTAATAAATAGCTCTGGGTAGCTATTGAATGATGGAAAGACCCATGTAATTTTTGTCCTGTAATCCAAAACTGTAATGCTAAAGATGTAGATAAGCCAAGTTTGCTGTTGATGCAGATACAGACCTAAAATTCATATATTGGTGTACTTAAGTGTGTATTAGCTTTATTTCATACCATGTGGGTCAAGTTTGAACAGCTGTTTCTCCAAATGTTGATAGAAGTACATAATAAGCTAGTGTGAACTCTTAAATCATGTGAAGATATAGAAAGCAGTTATTCTGGAATGCTCAAAACAAGACAGAGCTAATTATTCAGCATTGAATAATTACCAGGTAGTGCGAATACACTTAGCACAAAAGGGTGTAGATTCTTTCTTATATTAAAGAAATTCCTCTGAAAGCAAGGAGCTCAAGAAGCACCAAAGCAATTGTCTCATCCACCCCCATGATGGAAAGGGGGATCTCCAGAAATGAGGCATGAGTGGTGAGAAATCTAAAGAGTCCTTGCTGGGTTTTTGATATTCAGAATAAAGTCCTTGGAAATGGCCATTAAAGGAGCTGAATTTCTCTGTAGTTACTCATATTACTAAGAACCTATATGTCATTTGGAAAAACTTAAGCAAGAAAGATGACTAGACTGCACTGTAATGAAGATCTAGGGTGTTTTGGGTTTTCTTTTTCTGAGAGAGAAAAATTAACTACTTGTTAAATCTTTCCTTTGTGTACATTACTAGCAGAAGAAAGATACCTTGCTTATTGGTGAAGGCCCATACAGCTGTGGTCAAAAATAGATGCTAGAACATATAGTATGAGTGAAGTATTCTGTCAGTCACTGGATTTCATCTGAAATAGTGTGTTGTACAGCTCAATGGCTGAAAAGAATTCTCCTAAAATAGAAGGGTTTGAAGAAGGGCAATGAAATGACCAGGAGAAAGTTTCTCCTGTGAAGTCACTGGGAGGACCAAGGCTTTAGTTCCTTAGGAAAGAAGAGACAAATATTGAGTCTATAAAACTGAGTACTGTGAAGCAAGTAGGAGAGTAGAGAACTCTTTTTCTGTCTTGTAGTACAAGAATAGAGGGACAAGTTAATGAAGCTGAATTGGAGTTACATTTAGACTGAATCTTTATATTCCATACTCAGAATTTGAGCTGATTCAGAGATCAGGGTGGAACTTGGAGGGGCTGACTGTCCTCATGTCTGCATCTCTTACCAGCCTTTTTGCTTTCTGCAGAAATGTCTGGTATTGGCTGGTGTCAGAGGGCATTAAAAAGGATGGACTTCTGATCTGATCCCATCTGAGTTCAAGTGCCAGCATCTAAGCTATTGAGAGGATAGCAAATGGCTTCTATGCATGAAACAATACGTTTGAATGTGATAAGCCTCTTCCAGGGGAATGATCTTTTCCTGAGAGAATTATATTATAAAGCAGTAAGGGATGTTACCAATGAGTGTCAATTTCTTAGCTGTCCTTCAATTTTGAAGGTTTGCTGTATGAGGGACTGAAATATCTTCTGATCTTGTTACTTGCTGACAAGATATTCTAAAATAATTTTATCAGTTAAGTGAGCTTTGATATTTACTCAAGTGACATTATTTCAGATATTACTGTTAAACTCCAAGTAATTTACTGTCAAAAAGCTGTTAAGCAGCTATCTTCTAGTCAGTAATGTTTTTCAGTGTATGAGAATCTAAGCCTTTTCTTTCTGGTATTTATACACTGTCTCTTGGTTTGGAGCCTAAGCGCCGAAGTCCAAAGTCCTTCCGAGGACCTTCAGTATTTGTAAAGCTTATAGATGAAAGGGAAATAAGCATGCAGTTCTGAAGTTTGCCCTGTGTGTCACTTTTCTTTTGCATAAAGGAGAGATTTGGTTGTACAGGAGAGCTATCTCTATTTTTTGCTCTTAAATAATAACCATTCAGAATTCAAAAGGGCTTTTCTTGGCCTAAATCATGGGGTATCAGGAGCTAAAAATGATGTAGAACTCTAATGGAAACATTCTCCTGAGAGCCTGAAGATACATGTAAATGTTTGTATGCATGTGAACAGATATGCATACATGTATATACATGTGCATATATATATATACATACATGCAAAAAGATTGTAGGAAGAGGGGCAGTCTAGCTACCTCAGTTCACAGTGTAAAGCTATAATGGTGTCTCGGATGCAGCAGAAATACTGTCTTTTTCAACTTTTCACTAAGTAAGGTCTGACCAGGCTATGTGTTATTCTCGCCCATTCCTCTTAGCCGCTCTGTTCCCATACTTTGTATTTTGGTAACCTTTTCCTAGCAAAGAGAGTTAGATGCCACTTGGACAGTCAGTACGTGTCGTTTGCCAAAGCAAGCTGTACTTGGTACAAGGTTAGAAGGGTATAGGCAGTAGGAAGGATAAGGCAAAGGGGAGAGATTAGCTTTATTTTGAGACATGGAGGTTCCCCTGTGAGAAAAATGGTAAAGATATGTTATGCAAATAGATCATGGCTTCACTGACCAACAGATGGCTTCTGAACAAAAGCTAATGTGATATGCTTTTTCAGGTTTTTTTCAGTATTTTTTCAATGGCAAAGCAAATGATGCTAACTAGGCGTTCAAGGTTCAAGACAGTTTTTCTTTTTTCTTGGAGAGGAAGGTGAATTTTTGATAAAGTGTTGCTTTGGTCTTGTAATCATGCACACAATGAACAAATGATCACCTATGTGACAAGTATCCTTCTGCAGCCTAACATGGATCATAGATGGATGGGTGGTGGGGAGAAATTTTCCCAGTGGGATGTGTTATGATGTATTATTGATCTCTCAACAATCAGAAGGCTTCATTTCTTTCTGCCAGGACAGTGGATTTCAACCTGTGGTCCACAAGGCTGCTGGGGTTTTGTGACCTGTTCCTAGAGACTCAACAGAAGGTAAGTGAGAAAAGTAAACCTCTTGCTGGTAGGATTCAATTCCACAGGAGCTGGCACCTTCACTGGAAATTTTAGGGGGCTACAAGGTCGAAAAAAATTTTAAAAACACTGACGAATCATGAGAAAGCCAGTTACACCTGCCAAACAGATGTTTCTGCAGTTGAAGTAGCTACAGATTGCCGTGATACATTTTTCCTGCTCTACTGTAAGGTCAGTCATTTTTTTCTTCCAACCTGTTCATTGTCATATAATGGGAATCTTTCCCTCCCTCCCCTTTGATCTTTGCCTGATCAGAGTACAGAAGTGCAAGGCTCTTGTATCCTGAACACAACAGCGTCCTCTCTTTTTATGTAACCTCGATGCTGAAGGGTTAGCTTAGGTGCTTAATGCAGCATTGCAAACTTATGTTGACACTTCCCCCCAAGAATAACCTGCCATGAGTTCAACAATGGAACCAGAGTACTTTCTAGTCCTAACTATATAGTTATATTTATATTAAAAGAGAAAAAGTAGTAGGCAACTTCTGGGAGGGGGTAAGACATGTCTCTAGCAAGTTGGCAGAGTGATTTAGTAGGGCCTTTTCTCTAACTTGAGTGATCACACAGCAGAAGTATGCATTTAAAAATAGTGCTACAGAGACTGCACACAAAGATTATGTAACAGGATTTTTCTATTATAGTTATTGTGGTCTGAGTTATATTTATTTCAAAAGATGTAATCCACAGACCTGGATACTTGAAAAGTAGTGGACAATTATTCAACAGCTACCTGCACATAAAAAAACTTCACAGAAAATAGTTTCTATAATTTTAAAATTAAAAACAAAATAAATCAAAGGTCATAACATAGGTCATGAGTTTGTTCACTTCTAAGTAAAGCAGTAATAAATTTCAAACAATATACAATTATGGATATCTAGAAAAATCCTAAGAGAAGCAGGTGTCCTCCTGTTTTCATTCCTTTAATCTGGGATACTGTATTACAAGGTGTACGCTACTAATGCTGGCCACACTTGCAGTGAATGAGCAAGGTGCCAGTTCGCAGAATCTGAAGCCCCTTTGGACAACTGTTGGTAACCTCCACAGCTGCTGGTTAGGCCTGCCATGTGCCGAGCTTAAGGTACCGGACCGCTCAACCCTGGGGCTTGAGGCGGCAGAGGGAGGCTCTGAGCACTCTGCCAGCTTCTCCTCTCGCTGCTCAGCCTCCTGAGGGGCAGTTTGAAATGTTAAGTGCCATGCTTGTGCCAGGGTGATGGTCAGCACCCAGAATTTGGTGCCGAAAGGTAGGATCCCGGAGATGGAGATGGGGTGGTGGGAGGGTGCACCTCCTGCAGCTGAGAAAGATAAGGGCCATAGCAGGTCGGACTTCATCCCAGGCATGCTTTCAGTGCTGAAAAGAAAGTTGTGAAGAGCTCCCGAAAGGTAACAGCTGTGGCTCTGTTGAATCTGAGCACTATGTGCCAAAAATCCAGTGTGCATAGCTGTGCTGCACAGGACATCCTATCTTACCACAATTCAGTTCAGCTTACAGTCTTATAGTTGTGTCTAGATGGAGCTAAAACGTGTTTAAAATGTGGCAGCCAAGTGGTAGATGTACCTGTAAGCGCTCTCTTCGCAGTGCTCTGGAAGGACAAACCTTTAGAAAGTCCGTGATGTGGGAAAACGGCTGCTGCATCAGTGATGTCTGTAATTAAGGCACATGGCTGTAGGTGTTTAGCAGCTGTGGCACACATAGGCTTTGCGCTTTTATACCTGGTGCTATTAGTTTGCTTCTATATTACGGAATATATATATATATATCTCGGAAGTGAATTCCTCCCTGGTTCTACCTTTCTTTTTGGGGGAGGTGCGTGTGTGTGTGTATAGCTGGAGTAGCTGTAGTAAGGCACGTGCTAAGAAAGGGCACCAAGGAGTGCTGTGTCCTAGTAACCGGCTAGGAGACTAGTATTTCTGTACCTTTTCATTTCAGACCCTAACCTTTTCCAATGTTCTTTCGAGTGGAAATAGTCTGCTCCTGATCTCCACTCACAAATTATCCTTTAACAGAAGAAGCGAGCAAAGCAAAAGCCAGCCTTTGAGCTATTAAAACAGATTTTCCCCCCCTTGTGGACTAACCAAATGATCCCTTTGCTCAACACAAACGTCCGTGATGAGGAGCGTGAAGCTGAGCTGGGGCCCCTCCTCGCTATGTCCGCTCAGAAGGCGAAACGCCCGTTGATTCGAAAATCAAGACTATAAAAAGCTGGGAGCGCGCCTGTGGTAGGTGAATGTATTCGTTCCTCCCCACGAGAGCCTCCGTACGCGCTCAAAGAGGAGGAGAGGGACGTCTCGAGGCACCCTTGCCGCCTGCTGAGACGGACCCTCGGGCGGCAGGACGCCGTTGGGAAGGCGACGGGGGCGGCCGTGCTGCCCCTCCTCCCCGGCCGCGGCCCACCCCGCCTGCCGAGGGGCAGTTGGAGGCCTCGGGGTGGTTCCCCCCCCGGGGGTCAGGGCCCTTCCAGGCTCCATCCCCTCACAAAGCGGGGCGCGGGGCAGCGGCCATGGGGGCACTGCTGGGGCTGCTGGTGCTGCTGGGCCTGGCGGGGCGGCCGTCCGGGGAGCTGCGCGTCACCGCCACGTGGGTGACAGTCCCGCGGCAGTTGAGGCCCCGGGCCGACGCCAACCCCCTGGCCGTCTTCTACTGGCTGCAGCTGGAGGGGCGGCCGCGGGTGCTGCGCCTGCGGCCCAGGCGGGGTCTGGTCGCCCACCCCTTCACCTTGGTCACCTACGGCAAGGACGGGGCCCGCTGGGAGGAGCGCCCCTTCGTGCGGGACAACTGCTTCTACCAGGGCGAGGTGGAGGGGAGCCCCGGCTCTCTGGCGGCCCTCGGCACCTGCGGCAGGGGCCTCCGCGGCGTACTCTGGGTGGAGGATGGCACCTACGAGATCGAGCCCGTCCCCGACGATCCGGCCTTTCGGCACGTCCTCTACCGTGTGGAGGAGGCCAACGACACCGGGGGTCCCGCTTGCGGGCTGACCCCGGCGGAGCTGCAGCACCAGAAGGCTTTGCTGCCGTGGTTCAAGGCCCCCCGGGCGGCGGAGGAGGAGATGCTGAAGGACTGGTGGACGCACGTCAGGTACGTGAAGATGATAGTGGTCATGGACAATGTCCGGTTTGTGAAGTCGGGCAGGAACGAATCTGAAGTCTTGAGGCAAGTCCTAGAAATCATCAACATTGGGGACTCTCTGTACGAACAGCTTTCTGTTCGGCTGTTTCTTGTGGGATTGGAGATCTGGACCAAAAGCAACCTGATAAACATTACTAACTCTGTCAACAAGGTGCTTGACAGCTTTAACAAATGGCGAAAGTCAAACCTGTCTCCACGGATGCGCCACGATACCGCTCACTTATTTGCATTTCAGAGCTTTGGAAGGAGCCTGGGATTGGCGTTTCTAGGGTCCATATGTGATAACCAGTGGTCATCAGCAGTTGTTTCCTTCACTGATAGGAAGTTGTCCTCGTTTATTACCACATTTGTCCATGAGCTGGGCCATACTCTTGGGATGCGCCATGATGAACGGGGCTGTAAATGCAGACGAAGGAGATGCTTTATGTACGAAAGCGATGTTGACACTGATGCATTCAGTGACTGCAGTTACAAAGACTATTTTGACCTGCTTGGGCGTGGCGCCGGCTGCCTTCGTCAACCACCGGCACCCGGCACTTTCTACACCATGAAGCGTGAATACTGTGGGAATAAGATAGCAGAAAGCGGAGAGCAATGTGACTGTGGTTCAGAATCAAACTGCGGAAAGGATCCTTGTTGTCACCCAAACTGTACATTTACTGCAGGTTCAGTCTGTGCTTCTGGAAGATGCTGCAAGAGCTGCCAAGTACTTCCAGCAGGAACGCTCTGCAGGGCAAGTATTGGTGACTGTGACCTGCCAGAGTATTGCAATGGGACTTCCCCTTGGTGCCCACTGGACGTGTACGTACAAGATGGAACCCTGTGCAAAGATGGTGCTTATTGCTATCAAGGAAAATGTTCTTCCCACAGTAAACAGTGCCAGCATCTCTTTGGCAAAAAAGCCAGGGCCGCTCCTTTAGATTGCTTCAAAGCAGTGAATACTCGAGGTGACCGGTTTGGGAATTGCGGTATTCGTAACAATATCCATTTTACAAAGTGCAGTATAGAGAATATCTTATGTGGTAGGATCCAATGTGAAAACATACACAAATTGCCTTTCTTGCAGAACCATGTAACGCTAGTCCAAACCCCTGTTGGAAATAAAAAGTGTTGGGGTCTTGACTATCACATAGGGATGCCGATAGCTGATGTGGGAGCTGTGGAAGATGGCACGCCATGTGGTAGCGATATGCTTTGTATCAACAGGACATGTACCAGTATATCGCTGCTGAACTACGACTGCAACGTGACAAAGTGTCATGACAGAGGAGTGTGTAACAATCGTAAGAACTGTCACTGCAGGTACGGCTGGGCTCCTCCGTATTGTGAATGGGAAGGACTTGGAGGTAGCATTGACAGTGGGCCCCCTCCAGCCACGGAGATTTTTCAGAGAGCAAAAATAGGAGTAACACTGCTTGGTCTTATTTTTCTCTGTATCCTTGGAGTAACCCTTACCATATGTTATAAACAGGAAATAGTGGGATGGCTTAGGAGCAAAAAGGCCCAATTCCACAGAAGAAGATAGCAGTTGTTTCAAATACTGGAAACACAAGCAGTTCCTAAAGAAGAACACCTGCTGCTGAGTCAAAATCCACCACGAAGCACTTGCTGAAGACCAACAAGCAGTAGCTTTGGATGCTCCTGGGGAAATCTCCCTTGAGCAGAGCCAGCTGATAACTCATCAAAATAATTCAACGTGTTCTGAATAGTTCTAATCTAATGTGATACCATTAAATGCAGAGTAAATGTTATCTTTGTTTATTTTAAGTTAATAAATGCAGGCAGTAAGGCATGCTGTTCCTTGCACCTCGAGCTCTTAAACTGAAGTAGTTAGGTAAACTGTAGGTATAGCTTTTATGCTTCATAGCAACAGTTTACAAATGTAAACTCTTTAAAACAGGTGTAAATAAATTACTCCTTCATCTAATGTTTTCTCCAGCTCAGGGAGAGAGATATTCATGAACATCTGGCTTCTGTCATTCATCAATAACCAAAGAGAAAAAATTGCTCTTGCAGTCTCTATTTAATTCACATCTGTGACACGCAAGCAGGCAAGAAACAGGTATTGCAGTGAGATGCAGGTGTCTGTGGCATAAGCCCTTGCAACTGTTTCCAGGGAGTAGCCCTTCAGGAGGGAGATAGATCATAGGGAACAGGGTCTTCATTTTGTGAGACGACAGAGAAGTATTATCCAGGTCACGCCAGTAAGCATTACACTTCTGAGCCATCAGATATACGTCAAGAGTGTAGTGACACCAGACCTGACATTTCACAAGAACAAGTTGTCTTTCTTTTCTGGAAACTTTCCCGTGCCTTGACTGTTGGGTTCTTTTGAGAACTGCTCTGTATTTTACTGTCTCTTAAGAGGAGCTGTCTGTGAGGTTGCACAAGTTAGCTGGATTTCTAAAATATTTGGAATTATTCTGCAAGTCTCCTCCACCCAGAATTCCTGCAATATTTGGTAGATGTTTTATCTAACTATCTTAGGGGGTTTCTCTTGGTTTACTTTGTGATTGCTTCTTAAGCTATCACTGAATAGGTCCTCACAGCTCTACGGAGTGCTACACAGAAGCATTGTATTTTTTATTTTTTAACAGATAAAATGTGTCTAACTTACGGAAAAAATATGGGGGATGTGGAAATACCATTCACAAAGTTTTATTTTTATTATTTATATTATAGCAGTGATTAGGTCTTTCAACCAGATCAGCATAAAGAGGAGTCTGTAGTCCAGATTTATGGTGAAAACTTTATTTTAAAGGACTGGTGTTTCTGGATTAAGGGCTATAATGCACTTGTCTGCTACCAAAAGAATTATTTGTATTTGGAAAGCAAAGACCACATTTTTAGCAAACATTCTATAAAGGCAGGATAAGTACCCCAACACTTGCACTGTTTGGGAGGAAATACGTTAGTGACTCTACAAATGATGACAGTAAACTCTTGTTGACTCCCTTGTATGATATTTATGTTTTTAGAATACACATTTTCCTGTACTTTTTTTTAACATGATTGTGTTCTGCATCCAAAAAGGGCTGGTTACATTATGATTGGATGTGAAATACAAAGGATGTGATTCACAGTTCTTCATGGCTTTTTGTCTAAAGCAAATGGGTCCTTAAATTGTTATCTATATTTGTTCTGGGGAAATGAGGTAACACATTGTTTGTTCAGCACGCTATGCTTATTGTCTTGATACAAAATGGATGGTTTTGATTAGATGAAGAAAACTTAATCCTGTGTTTATGTCAAAAGACAAGATAACTGCCCCTTCACTGACACCCTGAATTTACTCCTTATAACTAGAGACCTTTTTTGGGGGGGGTGGGGGGGTTTACCTCAGAAATAACAATTCAGGTGTGGGAAACAAGGGATATGTGACAAAGGGGATGTGGATTAGGTGAAAGATAGAGATAAAAAGTAACACAAGCACTACACCCAGCACCCTCCAACTAGCTATGCACAACTTGCATAGTAAGGTACCTGGGCCTGGGGTAAGTACTGGCAGACTTTTTGATACATAAACATCAGTGGCAGAAGTCTCAGGCTGCCACCTTGATGGCTGTTGATTGATAGTATACCATAAATTGCCAAGTATAGATCTATGCTGAGACCAGAGAAAACACTTAGAGAGTCAGAGTTTTTATTTATGGACCTGCGTACTGAAGAAACAGAGGTGTAAACGCAAGCAGAATTTAGGCTAGAAAGCTTACTTGTAAATGCAGTTTTGGAAGAGACAAAGCAATAAGATGCTGTAGTTTCCGTTCTTCTCTGTGCTTAAAGATTGATCGAAAAAAACCCATGACTTAAGTGGGAGGAAGCTTTCAGCAAGCTTTGGACAGGAGTATTTCTGTATGCTTTTCTTCTCTTTCTGCTCAGGCCATATGAGCAAGACAAACATTCATTCCAACCTAGTCTATGTTTTATAAAATGTGTCAGCTCCCTCACTAAGGTTTTCTCCTTGAAAATATCGTTGTTTCTGATTTCACCATAGCAACAAATAACTTGATACTTCTGGTGGTTTGTTAAAAATGTCCCACTACTCTGTTGTGGTATGAAGGTGCAAGTCTAAGTTCAGTCCTAATCTTTCCGGTTCCCCCCCCTTTTTTTTCCTCTTAGTTTTAATTGCCTTTTTTAATGTTTTAAATGGATGTGAGAACTTGGCCAATGTAGAAGTCACTTGAACATGGAAGCGGCCTGCAAATGCTGCTGCCCTGTCTCCCCAAAGATGTGGATCAGTCTAGTATGTGAAACAGTGTTAGAGGGAAGTGTCTGACTACGGAGACATATGAAATGGTCTGTGCCAGTGCAGCAAGTTATTAAGTCTTAGGCAGCTGTTAACATGTGGCGGGCCAGTAGCAGTGGGTGAAGCCTGGAACTGCCTAGGAGTAAGTTACAGCAATGATTTACCGATGTTTCTTGTCTGAAATCTCTTCCTGGCTAAATAAGACTTTTAAAAAAACCTCTTAATATTGCAGTTACCTCAGTTCAAGATAAAATCGTTCTTGTTCTAAGCCAAAACTGCCATCTCTGAAATACTGTTCCTTGGCAGCAGTTTTAATGTATGTATCTTCAAGGAGTTTGCCAAGTACTGTATTAGCAGAACCTGAGTTTGGAAGAAAAATAATTGATGGCCATTGCGCAAGTTTTGCTTTCCAGTGTTCTTAATCGTTGGCAAAAAATAAGTATAGATATCCAGGACAAGGTAACTGTGGGGACTGGACTGAAACAGGTGTGAAACTGAATGATGTGCTTAACAGTTTAAGAACTCCTCCCGTGATAGACAAGTCATGGTTTTGCTCGTCATTGCAGATGTAATTGGGCCTTGAATGCCTGTCTCCCATCTCTGAGGCGGGTGTTTAGCGCTAAACATGAATGTTGTAGCACTAAGGCATGTGGCACGCTCTTCCTCTAATCCAGAGATCCAGTACCCAGGCTGCCTCTCCCTATTAAATTCAGGAATCCAAAAGTGCAGGTAATCTTGGAATAAATGCAGTCAAAAACATTTGTCATCAGTGCTGTAACGAGGAACAAACAAATTGGTAGTGTAACACTGAAGACCAGAGCACCTGGTCCTCATTTTCATCAGAAAAGTTCCTGCAGCGTGTAGACGTGGCTGTCCTAATAGTGCCAAGCAGTTAGGTGACTAAATTGCACCGGGCCCTGTTCCCTGTTGTCGTTGTCTGTATTGCCACACGTGCAGCGTGTGCTGAAATAGATAAGGATAAAGTTTTAATAAGGAAATAAGTAGGGTTAACTTTTGCCTTACTCTCTTTTCCCCAATAATCTGTTGGCTCAAGAACTCCCTGAGGTACAGGAGTCCCAGGTTCAAGTGGCTCCTCTGCGTGACGGAAAGTTGAACTAACTCTGCCTTTTATTGTTAGGTAATTATCCGTTCCGTAGAGTTTTGAGGAAGTTTCCCAAATCCTCAAACTGAGCAGCTTCTACGGGACCCGGTTAAGTAGTTGTTGTTCCCAGCTCCGGTGCACCCCCGGCAGCAGGGAGGCCCCCCCGGGCCCGGTCCTCTTCCGCCTCTGCGCTGAGAGCCCCTCGCAGGGGGCATTCGGCGACCGGATGGAGAAGCCCCGGCCCGCAGCGCCAAGGACGCACCGCTCCCCGGCCGCGGGCTCCTACCGCTGCC